CAGTGTGAGGTGATACAGGCAGCTGATGGGCCCTTCAGTTTCTGCCACGAAGAGGTGGACCCGGCGCCATATTTCAACGACTGCGTGTTTGATGTATGTTTGTCAGGAAATCAAGGCCACGATCTCTTGTGCAGTGCCATTGAATCATATGTCAGTGCCTGTCAGTCTGCTAATGTTCGAATCTATCCCTGGAGAGAGAACACCACCTGCAGTGAGTCAACATGTCATTATATTTTATTTATATCTAAATGTACAAGAAATTTGCTAACCACTTCAGAAATAAAAAGTCCAACAATTTTACAATACTCACTGTATCCACACTGTATTGTATGTCTGACTAGTGCCATTTGTCACGTTTCTCACTTATTAAGCACTGGACTGTCCAGCCAACAGCCATTATGAGCTGTGCGGTACTGACTGTGGCCACACCTGTGCCAGTAGCATTGATGAAACCTGTGAGCAGTTCTGCTCTGAGGGATGTTTCTGTGATGAAGGCTTCATCAAGAGTGGGACCAGGTGTGTCCCAGTGGAACGCTGTGGCTGCCAGTATGACGGATTCTACTATGATGTAAGACATATTAAAGTCAATAGTAAATACTCTTTGAAGTAATTCCCTTCAAATCAGCAGAATCAGCAGACTTGCCTTTCTTACATTTAGAAAGCTTCGTGAAGTGTTTTGGACTGTGACAAAGCTTAAAATTCAGAAATATATATTAAACAAACAACAGAGTCTATTATAGCTCAGTAATAATGTGGTAATATTGAGGTAACAAGGTGGAAACAGGAAGATAAAAACAAGATATATAGCAAATAATTGCCACTTCATTTCCAGAGTAATAACCAAGTGATCTAGTGAGTACTATTACATTTAAATCTATGTAATAACAGACCATAAATTATAAGTGATAATATGGATACAAATGTATGTACATGAGCTTAAAAAAACAATTAGTAATAGTATAGTCACATTTACTAACAATTAAACACATTTTTATATATACTAACCTCATAATAATAGGGTAACAAGATACTAATATGATTTTAAGTTTTAATGTTTTGGGATACCATTACCATATTGCCATAATGCTGGAATGAATCCTGCCTCATTCACCAACATTCTTTTTTGTTTGACAACAGTATCACCGTAAATATTATGTTTAAATCTGATATCTTACCTGGAATCTGTCAAGAACCGAAGTTCAACACACAAGCCTGACCCAGGAGCAGAACACACACACAGCGGTACAAGAGAAAAAATAAACTTTATTATAACTGAGAGTGTCCCGGGAGAGTAGAAGGGAGAAAACGCATGGAACCAGAGAAACCGAGGGACCGGGAGAAGAATCGCGCAGGAAACGCCGAGAGCGGGACCGTGGGAGGCTGAAACAGAAAAAGAAAAAAGGATTATTGGGGTGCGGGTAAACCGGCAGCATACGAGGGGAGGTAGTGTACGCGTCTTACGATGATAGCGGGGCCAAGGGAACCGGAGGGAGGGGTGAGGGTCCGTGGGGAGAAGCTCCAGAAAGGGCGAGGCGGCTGGGGTTGATCGTGATCCAAATTCTGGACAGGCAGGTGGACAGGCTGGTGACTCAAAACACGCCGAGCAGTGATCTGGGTATACAAGGCAGAGTTAGTACTAGTTCACACGGATAGGATTGCCTAAGGACTTTCCCGTAGGTGTGCGTTACCGCTGAAGGATGATTACGGACTGGCGTGGAGCAGCAGGCTGGGCAGGATTAAATGGTCCACCTGGTGATCGCCTGGGATGGGATGCAGGTGTGGAGTCAGCGGCCACGCCCACGGGAGTGGGCAATCTCATCAGCACCTCAGACGCCGGGCCGCGGACCATGACAGAATCAATGTTGGTTTCTGTTCAATAACCAAGAAACAAGGCTACAAAATGCAAATTGACGTTACCTGGAAACATGTGGTAGTTTAGGTCTAATAACCAGGAATCAGGGCTGCAACATGGAAAAAATGTTAGTTCCATGTTAATAAACAAATAAAATCCAAACCAAATGAAAAATTTCAGGAAGCATGATGAATACCTGGAAATGTGGTAGTTTCTATGAAATAGCAAATAATAGGGGTTGCAAAATGCAAAACTACAGTTTATAGTTTCATATAACTGAAATCTTAGGATCACAAAAAAGGTCTTCATTTGCTATCATATATTCAGCATAGCTATTATGACTGTTTTATATTACACCACTAAAAAGAAAATAATTAATATGTAGCTATACAAGCAGAATGATGCTCTAACTCTTTAAACTGCAGAATTTGGGGGGGGAAAAAATCTGTCGCTAAATAAATGAATGCATTAAACAATCAGTTGAAGATTATACAGCTACATCAGAACAATTAAATACTTTTTTTCATGCAGCTCTGTTCCACATATTTCTTGAAATTGTGGCATTTAGCATCTGTCCTTTCTGTGGGAGAAAGATCAACAGATACGACTAGTTGCTCTGTCACAATATTTAGTACATTAATAGTTGCAGTTTGCAGTGATCTAGCAATTACTGCACTAAATCACCTACAATTAATGAAAACAAAATCCTTCAAAATGGTATTTTAAGAACTGTATTTGTTGTATCAATTTGGCTATGATTTGGTGTGGTGTGGTTCACAGGCTGGCGAGTCCTTCTGGACAGATGGTTGCTCCCAGAGATGTGAATGTCACGCTCCAAATGACCTGCAATGTTCTGCCTCGTCGTGCACTCCTGAACAGCAGTGCTCCATCAGAGACGGCCAGCTGGGCTGTTACAATGCTACCACCTGCACAGTATCTTTCAAAGGTATCGTGTACATTTTCCCTGCTATGCAGATGATCTCCAGCTCTGTCAATGAAACCATGAGACTAAACTGTAGGAATGTCTTAAAGACATAAAGACATGGATGATCTTTAATTTTCTGCTTCAAATTCAGATAAAGATACGATTATTGTACTCAGCTATAAAACTCTTACAAACATGATGTCTAACCAGATGCACACTCGGACTGGGATTACCGTGGCCTCCAGTAACACTAAGAGAAATGTTTGCATTGTTTTTGACCAGGTTGTGTCCTTCAGTGCTAATATTAAACAAATAATTAGAATGGCTTTCTTGCATTTTAATTAGAAAAATCCTATTTGAGAGTGACGCCAAAAAATTAGTTCATGCATTCATTACTTAACCCTTTAAAGCCGGTCGGAGCGGGCACGCTCTGTGTTGCATAACTATCTTTAAATCCCGGTAGCACTGCAACCACATAAGCTAGCACAATAATTTTTTTTGCATATGAAACCGGAGGAGTTGTACTTACATCTTATGCCACCAGCTTGTCCTAAGTCACAGTTTCCTTCCACATATAGCTTTGCAAAAACTGCATAAAAAGCACTTGCAGCAACAAAAACATAATATTCCAGAAACACGCTTTGCTGATTCGATCAGCTGTTTGTAACACTTCCTACATCCATCAGCGTGAACTATCGCATGTCCGCCATGTCCTGCCCAAAACCGGAAGTGATGTCATTTTCCGGAAATGTAGTTTTTTACCATCAGGGCCTCATGAGCCTATACTGGTGTTTTTAAAAGTTATGTTTGACTCTATGACTTTCTGTGTCGTTTCTGGGACGCTTAGGACTCATATTGCACTGCTGGAAATAGTTTATTTTGATGCATATGCTGTTTTTTTGCAAATTTGCACTATAATATTTATTTTCGTTTTCCTGCAGTATATAAAAATTGGTGTATTTCAAAAATAAAACTATAAAGACACTCAAAATAAATTTCCTGTGGTGGGAAACTATTTTGTGCAACTTTTTTGTATTTAAAGTTTTGAGGGATAAGCCTCTTAAATTTCTCTAACTAGAAATATATGTTAAAAAAACAAAAACGATTTTTTTTTTGTAGTTTATTGCACTTTTTTTGCAATTTATGTAATTACTTAATGCAGACATATTATTAAAATTTGGGCTATAATGGCTGTATTGATGTATATCAACTTGAAATGCTCCCAAAAATGGCACTACAGCATGTAAAAATATAAAGTAAGCTCTGGCGGACTTGGTTCTATGGTAGGTCTTAAAGGGTTAAAGTCTGGCCTACTGTGATTCGTTATTATCCAACACGTTCTCACTCTCAAAGTGTAACATTTTATGCTAGGTGACAAATTGTCAACATATTATGTTTTTGGACACCCAACATGTTCCTAAATGACGAGATCGGAAAAATGAGGGAATATGAGAACCGTTTGGTCTCAATCTACAAATGTTTGCTCTTTTTCTCAACATCGCTTGGGAAAACACTATTTCATGCCATTAAAGTACTGGTTACGATTAGGAATAACGTTATGGTTAGGGTTAGGAATAAGGTTAGGTTTAGGGCTGGAATACAGGGCTGGGACGTCTATTACCGCAGGACCGTCATTCCACTTGATTTCATCGATAATCCGGCACGTACCATAAGAACGCGGAAGGTCACCTTTCGCGTTCCTCAGGAACGCCGTGGGACGTGACAAAACGTCGGGATGTTACGCCTCGGGAGTAAGAACGGTCTGTATTATCAGATTTTCCCAAAAACTCACTGAAAAGCATTGAGTTGATCCAAAATGCTGCAGTACGGACAGGGACTAAAAAGAAAGAACATATTTCTCCTATCCTAGCTTCCCTTCTTTTGCTCCCTGTTAAATCCAGATTCAAATGTAAAATTATTTTCCTCATATAGGTCTTGAACAATCAAGCCTCATCTTATCTTAATGAAATCATAGTGCCGTATCCTCCCAACAGAGCACATCTCAGACTGCTGTTAGGCACTGTTGGATTGTTGCAGTGGTCTCTCTGTTATTTGAGGGTCTTTAGTTTACAATATAAAGTGCCTTGAGGCAATTCCTGCTGTTATTTGACAGTACATGAAAAAAATGTAAGGTTTGAAAGTTTTTTCCTAAAGCTTTATGAATGTAAATGTCTGGACATTTAACATAAGGCATAAGGGACATTTCCTTTTATTCTTTTTAAGGTGAATTAGTGCAGCTGGGTGGTTCATTCTGGAGTGACAGGACCTGTGCACAGAAGTGCACATGTACCTCAACAGGCCTGCAGTGCCGCAATGAGCCGTGCTCCTTTTCACAGATCTGCAAGCCAGCTTCCTTCCAGTTCTCCTGTCAGACAGTGCCAAGAGGAACCTGCACCATAAGTGGTGATCCCCATTACTACACCTTTGATAACACAGTGTTTCACTTTCAAGGCACTTGCACGTATGTTCTCTCTGAGCAATGTAATAGTGGACGGCCCTACTACAGAGTAGAAGGCAAAAATGAGCACAGAGGCAGTACTCAAGTCTCTTGGACACGACTAGTGAAAGTGCATGTCTACAATGACACAATTGAGCTTGTCAAAGGACGCCATGGTCAGGCTAAGGTTGGTCATTTTGATTCTGGATAAATTCTACACTTTATGACCAGATATACTTTTCTCACTTGATATATTTGCTGTTTTTTTTACAGGTTAACGGGAACTTTGCATTCACTCCATTCTCCCTTAGCAATGGCACCGTGCAGGTTTATGAGTCAGGTTTTTCTGTGTTTGTCAGCACTGACTTTGGTTTAGTGGTGTCTTATGACACAATTCATCATGTTCAGATCAGCTTGCCCTACACTTACCAGAATGGTACATGCGGTCTTTGTGGAAACTTCAATGGCATTCGTAGAGATGACTTTCAAACTCGTGACGGTGAGGTTGTGAGCTCTGATGTGGTTTTTGCTAACAGCTGGCAAGCATCTGGGGATGATGAGCCTGGCTGTGGGCCACAGTGCGGAGGTCTGGACTGTGCTGTTTGCACTGTAGAAGAGACAGCATTGTATAGCAACACTGACCACTGTGGTATCCTCAGCAGTAGTTCTGGACCTTTCACGGCTTGCCATCAGCAACTTCCTCCACAGTCCTTTGTGGAGAGTTGTGTGTATGATCTGTGTGTAGGAGGAGGGTACCGACCTATTCTCTGTCAAGCCCTAAGTGTGTATGCAAGTCAGTGTCAACAAAGTGGTATTCAGCTACCAAGTTGGAGGACACCTGGCTTTTGTGGTATGTTAATCACTTTCTTTTTTTTTTGCATTATTTCAAAATATTATTGTATTAAAATTCCACCGATGTAAATATCGATGTTGTTGTCTTATTCCTAGAAATCCCATGTCCAGCCAACAGCCACTTTGAGTCTGAAGGCACAGGATGTCCACCTACCTGTGTTAATCCCAACTCTACCCATAACTGCCCTCTACCTCCCCAGGAAAGCTGCATCTGTGATTCAGGCTACATCCTCAGTGGTGGGGTCTGTGTCCCTCATGCTGAGTGTGGCTGCAGCTTTGAGGGCCGTTACTACCGATCTGGAAAAACTGCAATACTAGACGGAGACTGTGGGAGACGTTGTAGCTGCAGTTATGGCTCCATGACTTGCCACTCTCATGGTTGTGGCCCACTTGAATCATGCAGGATGGAGGATGGAGAAAGAGGATGCAGACCAAATAGCTATGAAACATGCTGGATCAGAGGCCCAGGGTCATATCAGACATTTGATGGACTGACATACCAATATCCTGGGGCGTGTCGATTGACACTTGCCAAAGTTATGGGACTGTCCAGTCACCCACACTTCATGGTGACAGCAGAAAAAGTGCCAAGAGGCCAGCAAGGTTTTGCACGAATTCTGCATTTTGAAGCAGAGGGGATACACATATCTATTGAGATGGCAAGGAACAGTAAAGTGAAGGTAAGTGAATGGAACACTTACTTAAAATTATGTTCTTCCTTTAATATTTATTTATGTGTATACGGACACAATACTGCTTAAGTCTTGTTAACTGCAAAAAACTGGATGATCCTGCAGGTTAACGGTCAGCTGATCAGGCTACCTTTCAGCACTACATCGAACCGAATCCAGATCTTCCACAGCAGCATTTACAGTGTCATCATTCGCACCTCCTTTGGTGTAACTGTGCAGACAGTCTGGCCTCACTTTGTCCGTGTCACTGCTCCTGGTGTCTACAATGGTTCACTGGGTGGACTCTGTGGTAATTACAATGGTCATCCACATGATGACTTCAATACACCCAACGGTGTTCTGGTCAACAGTTCTCAGGACTTTGGAGACAGTTGGCGAGATGGCTCTCTGGCTGCTCACTGTGTGGAAAGCATGAACCAAAATTCTACAACTAATTACAATTCTACTGAGTACTGTGGCATTCTCAGCTCACCAGATGGGCCATTTGTACCCTGTTGGTCTGTGGTTGACCCGAGCCAGCAGGTGGATGTATGTGTGGAGATCATGAGGGGCTCTAACAATCCAGCATCAACTCTGTGTGGTGTCCTACGAGATTATGCACTAATGTGTCAACAGAAGGGTGTTGCCTTAGGACAATGGAGAAATGCAACTGGCTGTGGTAAGCATTCAACTGTTTTTGAATTAATTCTAGCCATGATCTCCAAATGTTTAAAAATGCTTTTTTATGTTAACCTGTTTGTTTTTCTCCAGCACTAACCTGCCCATCAAACAGCCATTATGAACTCTGTGGAACCTCTTGTCCTTCTGCTTGCCCCAGCCTCTCTTTCCCCTTCACCTGTGATACTGTGTGCCAGGAGGGCTGTCAGTGTAACAATGGTTTTATCCTCAATGGTGACCAGTGCGTTCCACCAACATCTTGTGGATGCTATCATCAAGGATGCTATCACCAAGGTGGTGAGCAGTTCTGGGATGGTGAAGAATGTCAGAGCTTGTGTACCTGTAACGGAAATACAGGGAACGTCCACTGTACTCCCAACTCCTGTGGGCCCCAGGAGTCCTGCCGTGTGGTGGAGGGCGAGTTTGGCTGCCATCCCAACCTTCATGGCACCTGCTCTGCCTCTGGAGACCCTCACTATATCACCTTTGATCGTAAGGCCTATGACTTCCAAGGAACCTGCCGCTATGTTCTGGTGACCCTCTGTAATGCCACTGATGAGCTCAATCAGTTCTCCGTGGAAGCTAAGAATGAGGCATTGAATGGGCTTCCACTTTCAATAGTAGCTGAAGTTTTTGTGAATGTCTGGGGCTACGACGTGCATATGTCAAGGGACAGAAGAGGTTTGGTACAAGTAAGTAGTTAGTGATAGTTCTCATTCGATGATTGTTATGAACAATTTCAGGTGTATGAAGTAAATGGCAGCTACATATATTTTAGGGATATTTTTACTGCTGTGAATGAAAAAAATAACAATTAAAAAGTAGAAAAGCTACCCACTGATTTTCTTTGCATATCTCTTCTAGGTGAATGGAGTAACTAGAAATTTACCTATTATCTTGAATGAAGGTAATGTGTCTATCTATGCAACAGGATCTCGTATACTTGTCAGCACTAATTTTGGCTTGAGTGTTACCTATAATGGATATAGTGCAGTGTTTATCTCCGTACCACCAAATTACAGGTACAATTCCCACCCATCAAAGCTGAAGTAATTTTTGTTTGACATGCTTTAAAAAACAGGATAATCCCAGCTATATAAATAATTTATTTACTAATAATTTATCCTTATGAACCTAACACAAGGACTATTGCTAACTGTTGTCATCAACAGAGAAAAAATATGTGGACTTTGTGGAAATTTCAATGGAAATCCAAATGATGACTTTCACACACCATCTGGAACGATAGTCACATCTCCAGATGAGTTTGGGAGAGCCTGGAAGGTGCCAGGCAACTACACGTGCAATGATGGCTGTGGCTCCTCCTGTCCACAGTGTGCCAATGAACAGCCTACTAGAGATCAGTGTGAGGTGATACAGGCAGCTGATGGGCCCTTCAGTTTCTGCCACGAAGAGGTGGACCCGGCGCCATATTTCAACGACTGCGTGTTTGATGTATGTTTGTCAGGAAATCAAGGCCACGATCTCTTGTGCAGTGCCATTGAATCATATGTCAGTGCCTGTCAGTCTGCTAATGTTCGAATCTATCCTTGGAGAGAGAACACCACCTGCAGTGAGTCAACATGTTGTTTTATTATATTTATATCTAAATGTACAAGAAATTTGCTAACCACTTCAGAAATAAAATGTCCAACAATTTTACAATACTCACTGTATCCACACTGTATTACATTAAAAGTGGTATGTCTGACTAGTGCCATTTGTCACGTTTCTCACTTATTAAGCACTGGACTGTCCAGCCAACAGCCATTATGAGCTGTGCGGTACTGACTGTGGCCACACCTGTGCCAGTAGCATTGATGAAACCTGTGAGCAGTTCTGCTCTGAGGGATGTTTCTGTGATGAAGGCTTCATCAAGAGTGGGACCAGGTGTGTCCCAGTGGAAAGCTGTGGCTGCCAGTATGATGGATTCTACTATGATGTAAGACATATTAAAGTCAATAGTAAATACTCTTTGAAGTAATTCCCTTCAAATCAGCAGAATCAGCAGACTTGCCCTTCTTACATTTAGAAAGCTTCGTGAAGTGTTTTGGACTGTGACAAAGCTTAAAATTCAGAAATATATATTAAACAAACAACAGAGTCTATTATAGCTCAGTAATAATGTGGTAATATTGAGGTAACAAGGTGGAAACAGGAAGATAAAAACTAGATATATAGCAAATAATTGCCACTTCATTTCCAGAGTAATAACCAAGTGATCTAGTGAGTACTATTGCATTTAAATCTATCTAATAACAGACCATAAATTATAAGTGATAATATGGATACAAATGTATGTACATGAGCTTAAAAAAACAATTAGTAATAGTATAGTCACAATCACTAGCAATAAAACACGTTTTTATATATACTAACCTCATAATAATAGGGTAACAAGATACTAATATGATTTTAAGTTTTAATGTTTTGGGATACCATTACCATATTGCCATAATGCTGGAATGAATCCTGCCTCATCCACCAACATTCTTTTTTGTTTGACAACAGTATCACCGTAAATATTATGTTTAAATCTGATATCTTACCTGGAATCAATGTTGGTTTCTGTTCAATAACCAAGAAACAAGGCTACAAAATGCAAATTGACATTACCTGGAAACATGTGGTAGTTTAGGTCTAATAACCAGGAATCAGGGCTGCAACATGGAAAAAATGTTAGTTCCATGTTAATAACCAAATAAAATCCAAACCAAATGAAAAATTTCAGGAAGCATGATGAATACCTGGAAATGTGGTAGTTTCTATGAAATAGCAAATAATAGGGGTTGCAAAATGCAAAACTACAGTTTATAGTTTCATATAACTGAAATCTTAGGATCACAAAAAAGGTCTTCATTTGCTATCATATATTCAGCATAGCTATTATGACTGTTTTATATTACACCACTAAAAAGAAAATAATTAATATGTAGCTATACAAGCAGAATGATGCTCTAACTCTTTAAACTGCAGAATTTTGGGGGGGAAAAAATCTGTCGCTAAATAAATGAATGCATTAAACAATCAGTTGAAGATTATACAGCTACATCAGAACAATTAAATACTTTTTTTCATGCAGCTCTGTTCCACATATTTCTTGAAATTGTGGCATTTAGCATCTGTCCTCTCTGTGGGAGAAAGATCAACAGATACGAGTAGTTGCTCTGTCACAATATTTAGTACATTAATAGTTGCAGTTTGCAGTGATCTAGCAATTACTGCACTAAATCACCTACAATTAATGAAAACAAAATCCTTCAAAATGGTATTTTAAGAACTATATTTGTTGTATCAATTTGGCTAAGATTTGGTGTGGTGTGGTTCACAGGCTGGCGAGTCCTTCTGGACAGACGGTTGCTCCCAGAGATGTGAATGTCACGCTCCAAATGACCTGCGATGTTCTGCCTCGTCTTGCACTCCTGAACAGCAGTGCTCCATCAGAGACGGCCAGCTGGGCTGTTACGATGCCATGTCCACCTGCACTGTGTGGGGGGATCCACACTACATCACCTTTGATGGAGCAGTGGCTCATTTCCAGGGAACTTGCTCCTACATCATCACTGAGAGCACAAACCATGGCACTAACGAAACACAGTTTCAGGTGATAGCCACCAACAATCACCGTGGTAACAACCGTGTGTCATTTGTGTCTGCAGTGGACATATATCTCTCAAATCATCCAGAAAGTGTGTACATCAGGATCGGACCCAATAAAAGAGTAACGGTAAACTATCTATCACTTTTAAGATGAACAGCATTCTACTTTGTCTAATCTGCACAAAAGTAACAACACACACTTATTGCATCTCTTGTCCTCTCAGGTAAATGGAAATGATGCTTCTCTTCCCACCACAGTGGGAATCTTAGCTCAGGTGGTAAGGCAGGGAAGCTACATAGTGGTTGATGCCTCTGACTTGCTAGTCCAGTTTGATGGTCAGAGCACTTTGCTGGTCAGACTGGGCCAAAACCGTCATGACAGAGTCACAGGGATGTGTGGAAACTCTAACAATAATCCTTCAGATGACAAAGTCTTACCCAATGGCACACTGGCACAAAATGATAATTATTTTGGACACAGCTGGAAGTCACCCACCAGCCAACCAGGGTGAGTTGCAATGGAAATCACTATTGATGCTTCAACAAGGCAGTAGCTGATGGCAGTATGATTTGTCTTTTCCAGATGTGGCTCCACTGATGAAGATGATGATGGACTGAATGACTGTACCTTTAGAGAAGAATATTCCCAACTCTGCAGTGTCATCACCAACACCACCGGCCCATTCAGCACCTGCCACCTGCACTCTGACCCCCAGCCATTTTTCTCTTCCTGTGTCTATGACCTCTGCCTCTACACTCCAGCCAATGGCATGCTGTGTTCCGCTGTCTCCGCCTATGAGAAAACCTGCTCTGTTCTAGGGCTAGACATCCCTGACTGGCGCTCTGCTTTGCATTGTGGTATGTTTGTACTGCTCAAATAAGACATTTAATACAAATTTAAATCATTGCCATTCATCACTGATGATCCTTTCTCTGTGTCTGCAGATGAGTCAGACCCCTGTGAAAAGCTGGACTGCACAGAGCACGAGTGGTGTGGTGAGAAGGACGGTGTCTATGGCTGCTTCTGTAATGAGCACCACCATCGGCCAAACAATGAGAGCTACGGTGCGGGCTAACTAAAACCTTCAGCAGTATCTGTAGTGTATTTATTGCATTAGTCAGCCTTTATATTAAGCAGTCAAGTCAACAAATGTCTTTCAAATCAGTATTGATGACTCAGCTTTAAAAAATATCATGCTATAATGAGTCAGATTGTGTTTCTCTCTCCTTCTTAGACTCGTCCATCACTTGTGTCAGTAGTTCTGGCACCATATCTCTGTCCCGCTGTCAGCTGTTTGAGGCCGGCTTCCACTCTGATGCCCTCCATCTTCGAGATGAATCCTGCAACGGGACTCTTGAGGATGGTCGACTCGTTTTCCACTTCAACAATGATGACCAGCTTTGTGGGACAATGCTGAGGGTACAATTAGTACATTGAATGAATCTTCTGGGCAGCATTTTTAATTTTTGAAAATATGCTTAAAATGTTTTGTCTTCTTACTCTTAAGAGCAACGGGACCCACTTCAGTTATGAGAACACCATCAGCGGGGATGTGGACCCTCATGATGGCCTCGAAAGTCATGAGAAGAGCATCCACCTGCACTTCTCCTGTGACTATGCTCTGACCCAGGCACTGTCTATGGATGTTGGCATCAAACCTGTAGCAAGGTGATAACCACAACACCATCTGGCTTACATTTTTTGTTTTTTACTTTTTGGTTATATGACATTGTGGTTGCTGCTCTTCCAAAGGTACATAGCTCGCTGAGCTTTATAGAAATTTCAGTTTTTGATTGTCTTCATGACTATATGACCATGTGAATCACCATCATTTTACCCTGTTTTTGTTTAATACAAACATTGTTCTAATGTATGGAACGCCAGGTCTGCCATAATGAATTAATTAAATACACTATTAAATAATTTATTAATGTGGCAATAATTAATTGGAATTGATATTATTTAATTAAATAAATATTTTTGACACATTTAATCAATTAATTATTGCCACATTTAAATAATTATTTAATGATGTATTTAATTCATTCATTTTGGCACAGTTGACTCCTTTAGGTCTCACAATGAATTTATTTTATCTGTCAACCGCATCCACCAATCTCAAGGGGCGGGTTAATGCTGATAGAGTCCAAATCATTGCTTCGGCCTGGTGGCCATTATTTTTAGCACACCAACAACCGGCATGTGGAAACTAACAGAACTGAACTTTGAAAAATCCTGTTTGTGTGTCACCAAATACCGTTTTAATATTTTTTAGCCGAGAATGTATTGGTTTAATCTTCAATATCTGGTCGGTTTGTCAAGATATAGCCTCTTTACAAAAGTGTTTTGTTGATTTCTGAGATGTCTGCCCAGCCCAGTCTCATGGCAAAGCGTGGGATAGACCCACTCGCCTCGCAAGCAATCGAGCTGTTATTACCGCTGAAAAAGCGCAGGTCTCGGTACACAGCTGCCATAAACCCCCGCACTACACTGACTTCGGGTTTTTTACTTCCTGATGTTCTTATGTGTCTTACTTGTTTCAGTTGCCAATTCTGAATTATAACTAACATTAAAAATCATGTTTGAGGAGGAGAGAGAACAAATAAATCCGATTAACATCTGATCTTTGTGCTTTTTGTGCAATAATCAGCGTCACCTGTGTAAAACACATAAACTTTATTAAAAGAAATAATGTTGGTGTTTCCGTCATGTAGTAACTGCTATACTGTACAAAGGTTGTTCGACACTATGAAACACATACAGACTTCATGATGTTTGGCTAATATTTTTATTGTGAATATTAATGATGAGGGTAAACGGCCCTGTACTCCACGGAGCGAGGTCAGCATATCCACGATATCTTCAGCTCTCTGAGTTAACCCAGAGTTTCCCAGCTGACTAATCTAACGGTCATCTATGAATAATTCACAGGTCATATCAATATGATTTAACAGAAAATCTTCCTTATTACTGCCAATTCCAGAGACGTGAAAAATCTACAGCATAAAGAACACAAAAATATAGCAGTCTAACGCAACACTGTTGTAATAGAGATGAACCGTCAGTTTGTCTCTGTGTTATCTGCATTTTCATCAGCGTAAGAGACTCAGCAGCAGATTAGAATAACATGAATACATTTAATAAATCACCAAATTAATACACGCAGGAAACGATCAAACCTGTTTCGACAATTCACTGTTAAAAATCCCAAACACACCAGATAAAGAAAAGCAAATTGTTCGGTCTAACACATGTGCCAGTGAACCATTAAACTTCAGTAAAACTATGCAGTTATGAAACGTAACTTTAAAGTCAGCCAAACCGATTTGCTCAGTTGTAAATAAAACAGCGAAATAAACGTGACCGACAGACAGAACCTGAGTGAATCAAGTCCAGTGTTTAACCACTGAGAGCCAAAACTCAGGTGAGGTTTCAAAGCTGTGTGCCAATGATTGGACATCAGCTGCTGATAAAGTGGGTTCGCCTATAAAGTGCTCTGTAGTGAAACAAGCTCCAGCAGCTGTGCGCTCAGAAAAAAAATACTAGATTTACTTATTTTGTGCAGAAAAATGCGCTGACATTGCGTTATATAGAGCACCAACTGCCCAGTTAAACTGTAACTATCACCAGGTAACGTAGGCGTGTTTCTTAAATTAGCAGCAGGTGTTAAACATCTGACAGGTGAGGAGGAGGATGCATGCAGGTAAACTGAAGGCCTGTTGATCGCTGGTGTCATGAGAAAAATGTCAGCTCGTTCTTCATGTTACAGAAGCAAAGAGATAGAAGAGAGAATCTGCAAATGCAACATGTGGAACACGGAGAGTGGAATATGTAAACAAACCAGTTAACCCCCTTGCCCCCAAAAAACAAACAAACAAACATAAAAAACAGTTAAGATGGAGCTCGCTGCACTCTTTCAGCTGACTGTTAGTAGAGCTAGTGACATCTCTGAAAACATGTTCTGTGTTGACATCCTGACCAGACATGTGAAGATTACGCCACAACATTCGCAGCTAAAACACTATTAAAAGTGTAGTTGGTGACAGAAAAACGGGGTATTTTAAAGCTTTACACCACTACCATTGCTGCCTGTGATTTGAAATGCATTCTGGGATACCTGGCTGCCCCAAGTCCACACAAGCAATCGATTATCTAGGATCGACCTGTCTTGACTTACTTTGCACCGCAACCAATCAAATGTTAGCGAAGCTGCAGTGGCAGCGTTAACCCCGCCCCCTTAGTTTGATGGGTGATTTCAAGGTGAGACATGGGGACAATAGTGCCAAAGTGAATTAAATATATACATCATTAAATAATGAATTCAATTAATTAATTAAATGTGTTGTGAATATTTAATAAATTAATTATTTCCAATTGTAATTAATTGTTGCCACATTTAATTATTATTAATTATTAATTGTATATATTTTGCTACAAAATGCACACACACCTGACCACTTTATGAATTCCAAATCCTGAAAACATCTTGTTTTATCATGTTTACCTGTAGCATTGTGAACAAGAGACATCCATCTGGTCTGGGCCATTATCATTTGAGGATGATACCCTACCGGGACCCTGGCTTCCACTTCCCTTTGACCAGAAACAGAAATTTAGAAATGGAAATAGATGAGAGGTTATACATTGAGGTTCAGACGCAGGGAATCGATGAGCGGCAGATCTCCACTATCCTGGACTCTTGCTGGGCAACGCCTGTTAATGATCCCAGCTACCCTGTGCGCTGGGATCTGATCACCACACAGTAAAGACATTGCCTTAACTTTTCTTTTCTTTTTTTGTCTTTTGTGATGGGTGAACTTTAATTATCTTCTTATCATAACTAAGTTGTTTGCACATTAACACTGCAACTTTCACATTATGCTGTTACCTAGGTGTCCTAATCCAGCAGATGGCACAGTAGAGCTGCTTCAGAACGGCGTCTCCACCGTAGCCCGTTTCTCATTCAGGATGTTCACCTTTACCAACTTTTCATCTATCTACCTGCACTGCCAGGTCCATCTGTGTCTTTTGAGACACAATTACTGCACAGCTGTACGTACTACTTATAACGATTTGTATTAACACTGGGAAAAAATCTTTCATACCACTTATTGGATTCCTTCATCTGCTGAAATCACTCTGCTTTCCACAGCACTGCTACCCAGGTCATCATGCAAGAGTGGTGAGGGATATTTCCTACCATGACAGTGAAGGCATCTCATTGGGACCGCTAGTATTGAACACAGGTAACATTTGTACAACATTGGCAGTCTTGTAGATGATACAGCTGCATAATCAGTGGATTGTGATAATTGGATTCATGAACCAAGTTTGAATTCACTGTAGATTTTGGTTGTTTTCTAACAGAAAGAAGAATGAAAGCAAGCAGCTCTCCAGGCCTCTTGACATCTCTGGTGACCCTGATAATCTGTTTGCTGACTGCAAATATTCTGATCTAGAGAAATCAAGTTGATACACAAATTACAGCAAACTCAGCAATCATATAATAACTTAGTATAGATTTGATAAATAAAAGCACAGAAAATAGAATCAGAAGACTTTTTTATATGCACAGAGGAATAGTGATGGTTTGAAAAGTGGATGTTACTGAATATTTGACATCTATTAAAATACTTCTTATTTGCTCTGAGCACTCCTACATGTAATTTCTGCAGTTTTTCTTTGCAACACTGGAGGGCAGCATCTGATCAAAAACATATTTGTATGCTTCTGTTTCCAGTTCATGAGTTTTACCTTCAGGTCATTCAGGATTGTTTTAACATCGTTACATCATGATTTATTTTGTGGTATTCATCCATTCATTAGCAAATATAAAAATAATGAAAAATAAATGTATGTTTGAAATATTAATGCCTTGTAAACTGTGTCAAAATACAGTCTGAGTTGATTGATGGTCTTGCTTTCTTTTCTTTTCTGTTTCTTTTTTTTTTTTTTAAATAAAAATGTTACTACATTGCTTTGAGTCATGTGGGATTATAATATTACCTATGCCATGTTAGACCCCTAATTAAAGATTGTGAATTATTATGTAGTTTTAGTTTGCATTATTCTCCTGAATTAGAAGAAGGTGATAACTATTACATTTGTTAAACTGATTTGCATTACATTAGACTGCTGATTTATTGTGAATGAATCATATTGTTTTATGATGCATTATACTGCTGAGTTATAAGAAATACTGTTCGCAGAAAGTCATCGCCTTATTTGTCTGCTTAGAAGAGAACAGAGCATACCGGAGAGGTTTTCTGCCCCATCTCAGCAGGAGCAGATAAACAGGGAGCCAAGGTCGTAGCTTGGCGCCGTGTGAGAGAAAGCATGTGAATGTTTAGGCTTTTATGATTAGGTGGGGGCCACTAGAGGCTATAAGAGTTTGATCAATGCTCCACCATTTTGAGATCTGATGCTGTCTGCATACGGTGTCCATCTCCCACGCGTGTACATTAAAATCATTGTTTGACTCAACCCAGCCGGACCAGTGTTGTTATTTTGGTTTTCCAATATTTGAATCCGTGACAGTCACTTTTTCAATTTACAAAGAGGGCTCTTCATGTAACTGTAACAAAGGAGGAAAACTCCATTTTAGAATCACAATACATAAATGAACTGAATCATTTCTATAACAGATTTGATTCCACGCCCCCTCCCGCCATGACAGTAGGCCAAGCAAAGCACACGGAAGCGTCAGCTATGCTTTGTACGTGCTGTGTTGTCAGTTGCAACAGTAGATCACACGACAGGGAAGGCAAGAAGCTGGAAAATGGACTCTCTTTTCATCGTTTCCCCTCCTGGAGGCAACGGGAGTAGAGGAGTCCTTCTGCAGAGGAGTCCAACCCCTGTTAACAGCTGGACAGTACAGAGTATGATCGGCGTAGTACTCCTGAGGATGGACGACTGGTTTTCCACTTTGAAAATGACAACCATCTTTGTGGGACAGCACTCAGACAAAAATATTATGGATATTCACTCTTATTGAACATATTCAACTTGTACTATTTTGCGTTTCAGCTGTGAATACCCCCTGAATCTGGGCCTGTCTATGGCTGTGGGCATCAACCCCATAGAAAGGTAACAAAACATCTCTTGTGTATTATATACAATATTTTGTCAAGTTGGCTTTTTAGTACCAGTGTTGGGGTTGTTACAAAAAACTAAAAAACAAAGTAAAAATAAAAGTAATTATCTTTTGAAATTTCATAAATAACTTCAGCATTTTCCTCCTCTGCTACACAAACACAATCCTCAAACTGGAGCAAAGAAACAAAGAAACAAAACATTGTTTTAATTGTTTGTTTCTATCCGTCTGTCTCGAAGATACAGCCACAATCAAAAGCTTAAGACTACTTGAAAAATGGCACAAAAAAAATCATACTTTGCATGGTTGGATCTTAACAAGGTTCCAAGTTGAGCTTCAACATGCAACAAGAAGAAATGGGAATGAGACAACACATTTGTTAAGACTTGTTAAAATCCAAACATGCCAAATATGATTTTTTTTTTTTTTTTTGCCATTTTCAAGTGGTCTTCAGCTTTTGGTTGAACTGTAATTGCAAAACCTCTGCAACACAAGCAGTGGCATAATTGTAACTGTACAGTAACACTTTACATTAGGGCATTACTAAAAATTGCAATTATTATTACAGTGACACGTCACTTTGAAGCTCTTTACACTTACACATACACTACTTCAAACATACATTATTTTAGCTCTTTCTAGTTTGAATGCATATTTTTGTTTACAATGTCAATGTCTCATGGAGTACTATACGAGTAACTCAAAGTGGGTAAAATGTGTGGAACACTGTATGGTTGCTAGACTACATAGCAGAAGGGGAGAGACCACCAGCAAGGAGTTTTTAGGGAGGGTGTGGCTCAAGTGGTTGCATGGGTTTTCCAACAGTTGGAAGGCTATTGAATCCCAGATTCCTCCACTCCACATCCCAAAGTATCCTTGGGCAAGATACTAAATCCCAAGTTACTCCTCATGCATCCACTGTTGTCTGAGCCTGTGAATGTTTGAAAGCACATAGGCATCGATAAAATGTGCTGTATGAATGAATTAATGTGTGGGTGATTGGGTGAATGAAACAGAAACAGATTTGAGTGCCTAACTGAGTAAAAGATGCAACTACCGGTCCATTTACTATTTGTTAAAAAGCTGCAGTTTTCTGAGAGGGGTGGGGGTTGTCAGACATCAGTGCTACATATTATGATGTTCATGCATGTTAAATACAATACAATACAATACAACTTTATTTGTATAGCACATTTAAAAGACCAGTGGTACACCAAAGTGCTTTACAATAAAAACAGGAAATTAAGACAATAAATAAAAGACTATTAACAAAGTACCACATATGTCATCAGGTTAAGGGCACTAATTATACAACAATAAAAGGGAATATAAGAACAAAGTTACTAAGAACAGATATAGCTAAAAGATAAAGTACATAAATAAGAAATTGTAAATATCTGCAGCTATCACAGCATTCACAGCTAAATGCTGCTGTTCTCATCCTCACTAAAAGTACAACGTGCCATGCTCCGTCTGAGATAACGCACTACATTGTAAGCTCGTAGTTTACACCTGTAGAAAAGGAAGTGAACTGGATTCAGTGTTAAAATGTTACATTTTTATTATTGAGAAGCTCTTGAGGTGAAACTTATTTACAATCATTTGGTAATCAACTCACTTGTAGTATTGTTATTATTATTGTTGTTTTTTGTAGCATCATTAGGAAGAAGATTACAACTGCCATGGACAGTAGCACATTTGAATGATCCCTTCCATGACCCTGGCTTCTGTTTCCCCTTCAGCTGTGGCACAAACATAGAAATGGAAATAGATCAGAGGTTATATGTCGAGGTGCGAACAGGAAGAGTGGATCAGCATCTGATCTCCACTGTTCTGGACTCCTGCTGGGCCACGCCAGTCAACATGCCAAATTACCTTGTCCGCCCATCTTATTACTGCAGAGTAAGAGAATTTTTGCAACTTCACCTTGTCTTAGCATTCTTTATTAAAAACTTGAAAGAGTCAGACCCAGACAGACCTCTCCTCGGTTTTCCACCAATTCTTCCTCATAATGAATTTTGCTACTTTGCTTTATAATCTGGGATATTTAAATGTCTTCCAGGGGTCCCAATGAAGCTGATGGAACAGTAGAGCTGATTCAGAACGGCATCTCCACTGAAGGCCCGATTCTCCTTCAGGATGTTCACTTTTACCAACTATTCATCCATTTACCTTCACTGACGGACCCACCTGGGTCTTTTGAGACACAACAATTGCACAGCATTATTGTTTTTCATTCTTATGTTATAAATTAGAAACAGTTAAATCAGCAGAAGCTTCTAAACATAACAGTTAAGAAATGCAACATTGGTGACATGATAAACTATATCTTCTGTTTAAGAAGAAACTCTACATATCAGTGATAACTGCTAGAGTCACAGTTGAGTATGATACACAGTGTGCAATAACTTATCACAATGAAATGTCAGCCACCCCTGCACCAATTCATTTACAGGAAAACTGGAACCTTTATGACATAATGACTTTATCTGAGAACAAGACAAGGAAGATAGCGCTTGCATTTTGATAAAATGCCCAGCTTTTACAGGTCCAGGGTGTTTTCCTTCTCTTCCTGAACAATAACAAGAAGTTATTGTATCATAAACCCTGAAAATAATACGCCCATAAAACTAAGAAGAAATCTAAAAAAAAAAAAATAACATAAAACTATAAAATATAAGTAATAAAACAATACAACATTTGTGACATGAAAAAAATGTAGCTTCTGTTTGAAAGGATGCACAACAACTGTCATGTTATATAATTGTCACATTTCATACTGATACACAGTGTGCAATAATATTAATGTAGTTGTCACGATTGCTACTTTATGAGATTATCACTGTAGTCCTGAGTGGATTCACAAAGGACTTATTGTTATTTAACTAACAATAAACTCAGATGACTGTTTGGTAGTAGTATTAGTTAATGATATTGCTCATTAGATCATTGTTATGAATAATTTAATTTCAGATTTATCAAGTAAATGGCAGCTACATATATTTTAGGGATATTTTTTACTGCTGTGAAAGAAAAAATAACAATTAAGCGCAAAAACTAACCTCTGATTTTCTTTTCTTTCTTTTTTTTCTTTTCTCTTCGTGAATGGAGTAACTAGAAATTTACCTATGGTCTTGAATGAAGGCAATGTGTCTATCTATTCAACAGGACCTCGAATACTTGTCAGCACTATTTTCAGCTACAGTGTCACTTATAATGGATACAGTGCAGTGTTTATTTGTGTACCACCAAATGACAGGTACACTTCCCACCCATCAAAGCTACACTCATTTTTATTTGACATGCTTTAAAAACCAGGATAATCAAATCTACGTAACCCATTTATTTACTATTTATCCTTATGAAACTAACACAACGATCGTTGTTAACTGTTGTCATCAACACTGAGAAAAATATGTGGACTTTGTGGAAATTCCAATGGAAATCCAAATGATGACTTTCACACACCATCTGGAACGATAGTCACATCTCCAGATGAGTTTGGGAGAGCCTGGAAGGTGCCAGGTGCAATGATGGCTGTGGCTCCTCCTGTCCACAGTGTGCCAATGAACAGCCTGCTAGAGATCAGTGTGAAGTGATCCAGGCAGCTGATGGGCCCTTCAGTTTCTGCTAAGGAGATAGGCCCGGCACCATATTTCAATGGCTGCGTGTTTGATTTTTGCTTGTCAGTTTGGTTCTTTAATATATTAGGGTACCATTACCATATTGACACAATACTGGAATTAATCCCGCCTCATCCCCCAGCACTCTTTGTTGTTTGAACAGTGTAAATATTATGTCTAAATCTGATATCTTACCTGGAATTTTTTTTTTTTTTTATTATTATTGAGCAAGTGCAAGATGCTGTAGCTCTGATCAGACATCTGTCAGGGTTCCTGGGTCGTTGACCAGTGTTTTCCGTTTTGTCATGTTCAGTTTATTTTCACATCTATGTTTTCTGTGCCAGCATACCGCCTGCGTATTGTGTTCCAGTTATTTCCATGTATCATTAGTCAGACTAAGTTCAGCTGCGTAATCACCGGTTTCTAATCATTCATCACCCAGCGTGTATTTAAGTCCTCAGTTCCATCCGATCGTTGTCGTGTCATTGATGTTATGTTGTTGTTTCCGCCTGCGTTCAGTCAGCCAGCCATTCAGTCTTTCAGTCAGTCCTTCAGTCAGTCGTCCAGCCAGCCAGCCATTTCCTACCTCTGTTCTGTTCATCCACTCCTTATAATAAACCTTCACCAGTCTTCACCTACCTGCGAGTCCTGCGTTTGGGTTCCTTCTTCCTCGCCTCCACACAACGCCTGACAACATCACTAACCCAACGTGTCATCCATCTGTCTGCACTGCCACTTGTAAGTATTTGCATTCACACTGTGGAAAAAGTAATTAGTTACCAATTGCTGATTAGTTCTCAGCAAAGTAATCCCATTACTTTACTGATTACTTATTTTTTAAAGTCATTAGTTACTTACTTATTACTTAGTTACACAATAAGCAATAGATCTTTCAGCCCATTTCAATATTTTCTGCATAATCAATCATATTAAATTAATCAAATGAAAAAGTCTCACAAACAAATTCACAGTTTAGTAACACACTGTGCTTATGGGAAAGTATCAGTAATCCAATTACTATTTTGCATAGTATCCCTTACATTACTTTATGGATTCCTTCATCTGCTGAAATCAGTTTCCACAGCATTGCTACCCAGGTTACCAAGCAAGAGTTGTGAGGGCTATTTCCTACCATGACAGTGAAGGCATTCACATTAGGACTGCTAGTATTGAACACAGGTAACATGTTTACAACACTGGCAGTCTTGTAGATAATACAGCTGCGTAACAGGGATTGTGATAATTGGATTCATGAACCAAATTTGAATTCACTGTCGATCTTGGGTTGTTTTCTTACAGAAAGAAGAATGAAAGCAAGCAGCTCTCCAGGACTCTTGACATCTCTGGTGACCCTGATAGTCTGCTTGCTGACTGCAAATATTCTGATCTAGAGAAATCAAGTTAATGCACACACAACAAACTCAGCAGTCATATAATAACTTAGTATAAATTGATAAGTAAAAGAACCAAAAATAGAATCAGAAGACTTTTTTTAAATACACAGAGAAATAGTGATGGTTTGAAAAGTGGAAGTTACTGAATATCTGACATCTGTGAAAATGCTTCTTATTTGCTCTGAGCACTCGTTTGTAATAGCTGCCATTTGTCTTTGCAACACTGGAGGGCAGCACCTGATCAAAAACATATGTTTCTGTTTCCAGTTCATGAGTTTTACCTTCAGGTCATTCAGGGTCGTTTTAATACCATTACATAATGATTTATCTTGTGTTATTCATCATTAGCAAGGACTGAAATAATGACTTAGAAATGTATGTGTGAAATATGTCTTGTACACTGGATCAGAATACAGTCTGGGTTGACTGACAGTTTTGCTTTGGAAAAACCAGGCCCTTCTTTTCTTTTTAAAATAAAAACTGCTTTTGAATCACTTTTTGAATTTACAAAGAAGCATCTTCATATAACTGTAACAAAGGAGGGAAACTCCATTATAGAATCACAATAAATTTTGCACGGAACAAGTAAACAATAACCACAATCCAATCCAAACGGTCACTACAAGAAGGTTTCCGTTTCACATCAAAGAAACTATCCGTGATACAAGAGGTCAGGTTTCTCTTTTGTGCTGAACCTCTTTTGTTGTTCTGAGTGTGAAGATTCAGTAAGCTTCCTCTGGCTTTGATGGGGGGGGGGGGGTGAAATGTATCATTGTTAGCCGATATGTCGTCAGCGTTGTGGGATGACACCTACAGCAGACATAACACCGGTTAACACATATGCACAACATTTAATTTATTATTGGTGTTGTGGTACAAGTGCTCAAAGAAGAGCATTATGTCAAATACCTGGTAAGATGTGTAGAGCTGTTATAGCTCATATTTCATGTCTGTTAATTCTAATGTTGTTAATTACTTCTCATAGACCAAAAGTATGCCCATGTGATTGGTACTTAAGAACTGTATTTCTCATATAACTACTTTCCTTCTTTGACAGTGAGTACTGGGAGGTTAATTGTGTGGCTTATGTGGTATTAAAGTCAATGAGCGAACATGAATGAGAGAGTAAAACAAAGAATCACAACAAACAATGTAAAGGTCGCACTGGAACTGATATCCTGCAGTCATTATTTGGCAGACATCTCTTCTTTTCTCTCAGTATTATAAAATGTAATGTAATGCGTTGGCTATTCAGACCATGTAACTTTCTATGGGATAACAAGACAGGTTTGAAAGTGCATTACATTTCAGGTATCTACAAATATCTGAAGGCAATGAGAACACACAGTTTGAAATATAACTTAAAGTCATGCTGGCAGCTGTGATTAAAGCAAAATTAGAAAGAAAGGGTTATGAGTGGGGCTGAGGTGATGTGTGTGATCCTTCAAAAAGAATATTGCATAGAGCTGGCGACAGTGGCTAAAAGTCCAGTCTCAATCTAAATATCTAAGTCTCAGGCCCTC